ATGCATCATTTGAATTGATCCAAAGTTGAATTTCCATATAGACCAGCCTAATCCAATTCATACTAATATGAAATTTGATATATATATATATATATAGATACTAACCCAAAATCATTAATCTAAAGATGAAATTACATATGTACTCGAATTCCATTAGCAATATCAAAACAAGGTGAAAATTATGTTCATGATTCCCACAATTAAATTACGTAAGTTCATCCATCACGTCACTTTTTATTGTGGAAGTTTAGTTATATTTAAGACAGAATATGACAGTATTAGACGAATAAACGATGATATTGGCATAGAAGGAAAAAAGAAAAGAAATAATTTAAAGACATAATACTAATTACTGGGAGAAATTAAGGGAAAAAATTGTCAAAAAAAGAGAAGAAAAGATACAACATCCAGCTGATCCCCATCTTTGGAAATTAGAATGGCAGTCCTTGTTTTCTTCTCTTTTGGAGTCCACATAATTATTGACCCCAAATCACCATATTTAATACGGTTTTAGTCAAAGCATAAATGTGTGCCATGACTTTTCTACTGAGATTTCAAATTGATTCCAATAGTCAGAGTATTTCTCTAAAATCCCCATTAATTATATATGTAGCACACGTGACAAATTAATAAACTCAACACATTTATTTGAAGAAATTAATGAACTGACGGCTCATGAATTGGTTGTGCATTATTTGAAGAAATTAATGAACTGACTGACGGTTCAACTTCTCCGTTGTCTTGCACTTATGGTTCGTGATAAATTCTGCTGGTGGATAGCCAAGCCAGAAGAAAGATGACAGTTACACCTACTTAATTAATAAATTATATAGGTCAAAGAGATTTCCCAAAATCTCCTTGATATCCTTGTCGGCACTGGCGGAGCCAAGGGTGGACCGGGGCACGTGCCCCCAGCTTTTTTTTTTCTATGTTTTGTTTTAATTTTCGAAATCATTATAAGATGTGAAAAGAAATTGAAATATTATATTCTTAATACCATTTAGAAGTGTTCACAATCTAGTTTTTTATGTCGTTAACGGCGTGCAAAATGATCGATCGTAGCAAATGTTACGACTT